GCTCGATGTTGCGGCCGCCGCCCGGACGGCGCACCCACGTGAGCGCACTGGACCGCACCCTCTTCCCGCGCAAGCTCGGATCGCGCTGCACACTGTGAACACCGTGCTGCGCTCGTTTGGTGTGTGCGCAGCCTCGTTGTCGGGGCCTACGCGGAGGCGTCGGACGACCTGCACCAGCTGTTCGACTGTGTGGTGGATTCGGCATCCAAGCAGCACTGGAGGCGGATCGGCGCGCGTAGCGCGAAGGAGGCGCGGTCCTACTTCGCTACGACGCTGCGGCGGGCGTGGGGCGTGCACTTTGCGCGCGAGTTCGCGCGGCACCGCATCCGACGCGTGGTGTTCGTGGGGGCCCCGCGGCGACAGCCGGGCGTCTTGGGTCCGGGGTTGTGTTTTTCTGTGAACACCGGCCTCCGAGTCGGTCGGCGTCGCGAGCGCGCGCGATAAGGTTACATACACCATCGGCCTTAAGCGTTAAGCCCCGCCGATCGCCAACAAACGCGAGGTAGCCAAGTACTCGAGTAGCGCAGTTGGGCGGCAAGAATTTTACACAGTGTTGCCCGGGAAGAATCAATTCGCGCAAGTTTACGGTCAATCAAGTTGCACGCGTGCTTTCGGCGCGGTGGGGCGACCTGTGCTGCTGCTTAGGGTTCAACGACACCAGCGATTGCTATGAGCGGCGAAAAGGGGCGTGCAGACTCTTCGCAGGAGGACGTCGACCGGATCCTTGGCGCGGACGACGCGTACCGTGTGCTCGGCGTTTCTCGGACGGCTTCGGCCGAAGCTAAGTGAGGCTGCACCGTGTGGTTGCACCTGCAGAGCATGCGGTGATGTTGACACTGCCTGGCATGTAGGCGGAACGCTTACCGAACCCTGGCTCGAAAGGTGCTTGCGACAAAGACTGTTGCAAACACGATAGGAAGTTCCACTCAGGGAGGGGCGAAGCACAGTGAGCACAGTGAGCACGCCCTACATCGGCACCCCGTGCTCCCCAGGTGCATCCCGACAGGAGCGGACACCCCCGCGCGACGGAGGCATTCCAGACTCTGGAGGCAGCGATGGCAAAGGTGGCCAAGGACACGGCCGAAGTGGACGCGTTTCGGGCGATGATGGCGGAGAGGTCCAAGGCGGCGACTGCAAATGCGGGCGGGACGGGAAGTTGGGTACCGCCGGCGTTTGAAAGCCATCACCGCACGGTACTCAGCTAGCCTTCTCCCCGGGGCCCTCTTCGAACTGCTGCTCACGGCATGAAACCACCCCCGTCCTTAGATGCCGTCCTGGACATCCCAAGCCCCTCCGGCAGCGTGCCGTTGGTCGGATGAGCACAGGACCTTCGTCTT